TTTTTTTTTTTTTTTTTTTTTGAAAATTACTCTAATTACTCCGTCGTGCAAACGAGAGATGTAACGCGATCGTTGATTCGATCACGGTGTACATGTCCCTGATCGGTAGTTGAACCCGTCCGATCAGCGGTTCCATTTGCTTAAATTGGTCCGGGCCTGCACGCGTGTCTGTGTGTCAATCTGTTTCTGTTGGTCGGTGTTAACAGGCTTGGAACGGCGCCGGCGAGGAGGACTCGAAAAGAAGGAAGATGGACATCAAACTCGAGTCCGAGGACGCGAACTTTGCGTTCCCGGAGGTGGCGCACACGACCAGCCCCGACAGCAAGACAGCTAGCAGAGGCACGTCCAATGGAATCGGGGGATTGGCCACGATCTCCGGAAACCGGGCAGGAAATGGAGCTGCGGGCAGAGTGGTCGAGGTCTCGAGATCTCGTCCGGGCTTAAGTGTCCTTGCTAAGAGGACCCAGCAAGGTCCTGTCACTCTCACCTCTCAACTGTGTACGTGCGATTTCTCTTTTTTTTTTGTTTTCTTGTTCTCGTCTGATCAATTCCATCATCGATCGTGTAATTATCGTCATTAGACGGTATGCTGCGGACTTTTGGACCGTGCGAAAAGATACGTCTTTTCATAATGTCTGATGCGTAAAACAATTTTCTATGCAATCTAATTATCTAATTGATTTTTATTTTCCTACGTGTGCGATACAATTTCTTCTATCTCGCAGAGAATTTAAACGAACGAAGAAGAAGAAATCTCGAAAGCGGATTCAATTTTTAAATGCGCCGGATTCTTCCATCTTATATGCTGTGGCGTGTTCACGTGACGAGGAATCGCGTTATATGAAAACAGTGGTCATTTCTACACAATATCTCTGGCGCGTTGTAGTCATTCGCGATGACGAAGAATTATCCAAACTGATTTTGTTTCAGAAATGTCGATTCGGGAATTTAGCGAAGGTGTAAAAATGCACGAAAAAGATACAATTTGTCTTTTTCGAGCAAGCAAGAATGGTCAATGGTTTGTT